CTGGAGGTGTGAGAGGAGACCTGTCAACCCATCATTTTTTTTTTGTCGGGCGAGTTGAGACGCTTCCAAGCCTGCTGCTTCAATACACGGTGTGGGTAGTGTGGTATGGTGTGGGTGGTGTGGTATGGTGGGTGGTGTGGGTGGTTTGGGTGTGGGTGGGGTTGGGTGTGTGGTGGGTTGGGTGTGGGTGATGTGTGGTTGGGTGTGGGGGGATGATGTGGGTGGTGTGGGGTGTGTGTGGGGGGATGTGTGGGTGGTGGTGTGGGGTGTGTGGGTGGTGGTGTGGGGTGTGTGGGTGGTGGTGTGGGGAGTGTGGGTGGTGGGGGCGAATGGTGTTAGTGGTGTTGGGGATGGTGTGGGGGGTGTGGGGGATGGTGTGGGTGGTGTGGGGGATGATGTGGGTGGTGTGGGGGTGTGTGGGGGGTGGTGTGGGTGGTGGTGTGGGTGGTGTGTGGGTGGTGGTGTGGGGTGTGTGGGTGGTGGTGTGGGGAGTGTGAGTGGTGGGGGCGAATGGTGTTAGTGGTGTGGGGGATGGTGTGGGTGGTGTGGGGGATGGTGTGGGTGGTGTGGGGGATGGTGTGGGTGGTGTGGGGGATGGTGTGGGTGGTGTGGGGGATGGTGTGGGTGGTGTGGGGGATGGTGTGGGTGGTGTGGGGGATGGTGTGGGTGGTGTGGGGGATGGTGTGGGTGGTGTGGGGATGGTGGTGTGGGTGGTGTGGGGGATGGTGGGGGTGGGTGGGTGTGTGTGGGTGGTGTGGGGGATGGTGTGGGGGATGGTGTGGGTGGTGTGGGGGATGGTATGGGTGGTGTGGGGGATGGTGTGGGTGGTGTGGGTGATGGTGTGGGTGGTGTGGGGGATGGTGTGGGTGGTGTGGGGGATGGTGTGGGTGGTGTGGGGGATGGTGTGGTGTGGATGGTGTGGGGGATGGTGTGGGTGGTGTGGGGGATGGTGTGGGTGGTGTGGGGGATGGTGTGGGTGGTGTGGGGGATGGTGTGGGTGGTGTGGGGGATGGTGTGGGTGGTGTGGGGGATGGTGTGGGTGGTGTGGAGGATGGTGTGGGTGGTGTGGAGGATGGTGTGGGGGATGGTATGGGTGGTGTGGAGGATGGTGTGGGTGGTGTGGGATGGATGGAGGATGGTGTGGGTGGTGTGGTGGATGGTGTGGGTGGTGTGGGGGATGGTGTGGGTGGTGTGGTGGATGGTGTGGGTGGTGTGGAGGATGGTGTGAGTGGGGTGGGGGATGGTGATTCTCGCATCTCAGATTATTATTGACACCAAAAGAGCATGTAAGATATTATAATAAAGCACCACACAACAAAGAAACAAACTAATGTGTCCTGGCATATGTTTAAAAAAAAAAATAAGAAGGTTGTTGGGGCCGGACGGATGGAACGAATTCCGCACTTGAACGAATCGGCTTCGCCCCATATAGTTCGTTCAAGTGAGGACACACTGTATATATATATATATATATATATGTCGTACCTAATAGCCAGAACGCACTTCTCAGCCTACTATTCAAGGCCCGATTTGCCTAATAAGCCAAGTTTTCATGAATTAATGTTTTTTCGTCTACCTAACCTACCTAACCTAACCTAACCTAGCTTTTTTTGGCTACCTAACCTAACCTTACCTATAAATATAGGTTAGGTTAGGTTAGGTAGGGTTGGTTAGGTTTGGTCATATATCTACGTTAATTTTAACTCCAATAAAAAAAATTGACCTCATACATAGTGAAAAGGGTTGCTTTATCATTTCATAAGAAAAAAATTGTAGTAAATATATTAATTCAGGAAAACTTGGCTTATTAGGCAAATCGGGCCTTGAATAGTAGGCTGAGAAGTGAGTTCTGGCTACTAGGTACGACATATATATATATATATGTCGTACCTAGTAGCCAGAACGCACTTCTCAGCCTACTATTCAAGGCCCGATTTGCCTAATAAGCCAAGTTTTCATGAATTAATGTTTTTTCGTCTACCTAGCCTACCTAACCTAACCTAACCTAGCTTTTTTAGGCTACCTAACCTAACCTTACCTATAAATATAGGTTAGGTTAGGTTAGGTAGGGTTGGTTAGGTTCGGTCATATATCTACGTTAATTTTAACTCCAATAAAAAAAAATTGACCTCATACATAGAGAAAAGGGTTGCTTTATCATTTCATAAGAAAAAAATTGTAGTAAATATATTAATTCAGGAAAACTTGGCTTATTAGGCAAATCGGGCCTTGAATAGTAGGCTGAGAAGTGAGTTCTGGCTACTAGGTACGACATATATATATATATATATATATATATATATATGTCGTACCTAGTAGCCAGAACTCACTTCTCAGCCTACTATGCAAGGCCCGATTTGCCTAATAAGCCTAGTTTTCATGAATTCATGTTTTTTCGACAACCTAACCTACCTAACCTAACGTTTTCGGCTACCTAACCTAACATAACCTATAAAGATAGGTTAGGTTAGGTTAGGTAGGGTTGGTTAGGTTCGGTCAT